ATATTGTGTGCTACGCGTGATTGGGACAGCAACAGCGATGCAGCAGCATCTTACAGTTCCCATCATAGATGCTTGCCGCATGTGGTGAATATTTTACGGAGGGCCCCCGATCAGAATATTGAATAAGGATTGAAAAAAACTTCTTTTAAAGACACAAAACTAATTAAAAGTTTCCGTGAGCTCCGTGAACTTAGGTATATCTCGCTACTCTAATACTTATTGTAAACACGACGGAGAAAATGTGTAGATAATCGGAAAAGGTTCCCGATTATCCGAGTTCCATTGTGATACTCTGCGCACGCGTGCAGCGTTCATAATTCATAAGTCCGCACGCGTGAGGGGTTGTCCGTGAAAACAAAGAATCCTGGAAATGGTGAACCGGAAAAAATTTCCCGCGAAACATCTTCGATCTTGCTGGGTATCGTCGTCATGCAAGATCGCCCTCTATTATCTGCTCGAGCCTCTGCGTATAGATCCGATACAATTTGGCAAGCTGCTCCAGTGAGAATTTGACTAGAACGCCTCTCTTGGGGGCTTTCACTCTGCTATATGTTATTCCCTATCGGGCAAAGAGCCCCGTTTTCTTGATATCGATGCCTCGTCCTGTCCGGTCTGTGAGAGCTAGGCTCGCCACGTTGTGTCTCTCTCCCTCCACTCCTCTTAGACCATTTAGTATGAATGTTTGGTACGAGTGTATAAGCATATTATTCTAGACTTGCGACACTTCGATTATAATGTGGAATAACTCCCAACAGAGAGTATCAAGTTTTCAATGATTCTCTTACGGATACTGCCTCAATAAGCATTCTGTTCTCAGGTTGGTCGTTAGTGGACTAGTGATTGGCCTTGGTCTTAGGAGTCATGATAAACACAACAATATAGTATTTTCCAGTAAGTAAATACAGCAGTATATAGCAAGACTAAGTAGCTCTAGCTAAAGGCCAGGCTAAGTATCAAGGATTGTGTGCAAGTGTCTCTGGAAAAGTCTACACTAGGGCGCATGCTTGTCGAACTTAGCGACGAAACCAGCCAGTGGAAGAGAACTTGAAAAATTCAATCACAACGTTCACCAAATAACCTTTTCAAACATTTTCTTGCTGTTGAATAGCTCTTAGCATGAACGTAGGAGGAAGACTCGGTGAGGTCTATCCGGCTTTCGCGAACGACCCAGCATGGACGAGAAAATAGAAGAAAAAATGACCTCCCTTTCAGATCATCCGCTTGAGGTTCAGCTGCACTACATTAGCCACGCATTATTTATCAAATGGTTCATGATCCTCTCGTAGCTGTGCATGTCATGTGCCATCTACTTTGGCGTAACTCACGGCATTGCTCTACAGCGGTGTGTCAAGAAGTCATTGTACCAGCTTTGAGATCAGAATCTGAACTCAAATCATCCGAATTGGATGTTTATACTTTCCAGCGCATTCTCGTTCATGGTTAACGCTTCCTATGCAATTGATGCGTCTTATGACGCATAGTCGTGGAATCTTTTAAAGTAAATTACAACTCAGAGCTCAACTCTTGGAGCTCTGAGAATTGCCACATGGCAAAATGGCGAGTCGCAGTGCCGCCTGCCATTTTGCCAAACACTTGCAACTTGACAGTGGCAGGGGCAAGCAACGCTTGTCCAAAATATCTCGTAGCGTGAAAAGTCGGGTTGATGTGATGAGTGCCTTCTACGTGTAAACGCAATAACATCCACAGCAGTCAAGGATGAGGAAGAGCTACTTTCGAGAAAACCTGTGGCTGAAGGCGCAGCATCTTGCTCGTGTTAAATTCAACAACAATCCGCTCAAAGATCGTTGAATGGCGACGAAAGCCCAGGCACAGCTTCTGATTCAGCTTCAGAAGTTCTGAAGCTGAGCTTCACTGCTCAGTACTTCTCGAAGTGCGAAAAATGAGCGTATGAATGTGCTCGTGAAAGAGTTGGATTATCCAACTATCGCGGTATCATACCGCGTACAGCAACACGCAGGCCTGCGTACCGCTTTGGTACTACCAATGAGTGGTGAAAAGCAGAACCAGCGCACGAAGTGAACATAATGGATGATAAGGAAAGGCAAAATGTTGGTTAATACATGCGTGTTGTAGTGAAAATGACCTGAGCGTCTCGTAACATTCGAAACGCATACACAGTGCGTAAGCCACCAGCATCGGAGCCACTGTATCGACCTCACTGCGTGTGTGAAACATATACTGATTATCAATCAGTTTTTGTCCTGCAGATTGCCGCTAATGACATCTTTGGTGTAGTTTCCAAGTTTCCCAGAAGAATCTTGAAATTGATACGTAACCAAATAGTCCCAACCACCATCCCTATGTTTTATGATAAGCTGTTGTGCGGTGAAGAATGAAGGATTGGGTACATTGGAGGAGGGCTTCTGACTGGCTATTAGACTCAACCCTTCGCAATCAGATGTACCGTCTAGACCATGCCACGAAGTCCACGTTCTCACGTTAGCAGCAGGGATAGAACCAAAGTCGATAGTAGCAATATGGATGAGCTGTCCAAGGCCATAGGCATCCTTCCTTGGGGCTGGGTTCCACCAAAAGTCTCGGGTTTCATCACCGACACTCAAGTGAGCCCAACCATACGTCTCCACCAGCGTACTGCATTCGATGCCAGGCTTCTTGGACACAGTGACGTTAACATGCATGCTGCCATAATGCCCAGGCCGATTGGTGTTTAGAATGATCCCGGCAGCCTCTTTAACAACTCCTTCATATGTGACGCCCTTCATGTTGTAAATGCAGGACGGCTTTAACAGATCGGTGATGTCGCTTCCCTCCCCTGGGCCAGGCCCACCATGACAACCCGCTGGGTAGTCAGCAACGACCCGGAAAGAGGAATCAGAGTGTCCCAGGGCTTGCATCACAATGGCAAACGAGAAAAGGGCATAGATATAGGACATTACGAATAAAACTTAACCTGAAGAGTTTGTTGATGAGAATTCAACAATTGTGACGCACCTGAACGAACACGGTCCTCTT